GAACTTGCCCCAGTGCACAGGTAAGAAACAACAGAAGGGCTTAACTTACAATCAGGGCTTTGTGAGAGCTTCCCCCCCCCATTGCAAATTGTCCCATTCCCTGCCCCAAGCCCCTCGCATCCCCTCAGAAAGGCCTGGCCTCCTGTTCGCTCACTTCTGGGAGCAGTGGCGGCAGTTGGTGGAGTGGGGAGTGGAGCAGAGGTTGTTCAGCAGGTACAAAGCACTGTTTGTTCCCTCAACAGGGCTAAGCTGCTGCTTCTCCTGCTTCTAACCCTCCTGGGGCCCCCGGGAGAAGGGGCAGGGACAGTTCAGGAACGTGACTGTGTTCAGTTTGCGGTACCTTAGCAGGGCCACAGCTTGCCTCTTTGATCTCTGGCCATGAAAAGTGCATAAAAGACTGAATTCAAGAATGTAGACCTTTACAAACTGGCCTACGGGAACTCTGTCTGCCCCAGGACCACCTCCCACAGTAGCAGTGCCCTGTATTATCACAACCCCCTGTGCTGGTAACTGGCCGGCGGTCCTTTTCATTTAGCTGCCAACACCTCCCTCCCCAACACATCGTGCTCGAAAAGCACCCTGCAAGCACCACTCTGAGGCCCCAACACTGAATGTGCCGCAGGCTCACTGCTGCCTGGGTATACACAGTTGGTATCTCACGGAAAACACTTGATTCCTGCAAGCACAGCCAGAGCACGTGATCACAGAGGCAAAATCTCCCCAGTTGGGTGCAAAACAGAGCAACGTTTAACTCCTCCCCAGTAAATAACCTTCACGAGAGCAGCGAGCAGCAGCCAGAAGGCCGAGGCTGAGAGCACACCGCTCTGCCTGATGAGCCGGGACCCGTCAGGCCACCTTGCTCACACTGCACACAAGGATGCTCTGCTCCCTCGGCCTTCCTCATTTTGTAAATCCCACAAAAATCACACCTTACAAAAAGATCTCAACATAGTTTATGAAAGTGTTTCACACTAGTTTACTGATGCTTCGTTCCATTTCCTCGTGTCCTATTGCCGGTCACCAGAGAGTTGAGACCAGCACCTCCCCCTCCACTGCCCCCCTTTGAGGAGGCTGTAGACTGCGATGAAGTCCCTGCTCAGCCTTCTATTCTCCAAGTTGAACAAACCAAGTGACCCCCTGAAGGCAGGCTGCTACTCCCTGCTTACTGACGTGAGTATCACCATGTTTTAGCTGGTGATCCGGAACCGTTCAACTCATGTACCAAGGCTATTTCTTATTACCAAGGTCACTTTATCACCAAGGCTACTTTATTACCTTTGATGAAGCACATGGCCACAGGCTTTAAAATAATAAGACCACTTATCATATGCCAGTGTCTCCACACATTTTCTGTGGACCTGATGTATATTGTAGCAGAGTACCATGGATTTCTGACTCGTTCCTCATTCAGCTCCAGCAAACTCCATTCACCCAAGAGCTTTCTGGCTATGATGAACCACCACTCCAGCCACTTCACCTGACATTGAATAAGCACTGCAGCTATGCTGATCGTCACCAGCTGCTTTGCTAGCTAACGTCACCACCCTGGAGATGATTCTCACTAAATCCTCTCTGTGGTGCAGGAATCAAGATGTGCTTGCTCATGGCAGGCACTTGGTTTTACAAGCCTGCCATCCTATAGGTGTCCAAGTGGGAACAGCAGCACTCGGTGACTGCTTCATCTAAGGCAGCCCACGTTTCCCCTTCCCTCTGGCTCATTCCTCTTCAAGTGCTGCACCACAGCGCCAAAAGACAGGCTGGGCTGATCTCCAGGAACTTGTTCCTCCAGGGTGAACCCTGAGCAGCTCATCTCATCTCCGGAAACAAAACCACAAGCACCATTTTGCTGCAAGGGGAACCCAAACAGGCTGGCCACCAGCAGCACAACTCGCAGCCAGCTCACCTCTGCAGCTCAAGCGCCGGCCAGCCCAGGAGGGGATACAAATTCATAGAATACCAGGTTGGAAGGGACCTCAAGGATCACCTGGTCCAACCTTTCTTGGCAAAAAATTCCTTTGAGAAGGAGCAGCCAGAGCATGCAGGGCCCCACTGTGCACCTTGTGACATCCTACAATCAACTCATTCCCACACTGCTCTTATCCTTCAGGGCACTCGGTGCAGGAATCATTAACACAGCAAATAAGCTGTTCAGAGCAACAACAAACAGGCAAAACCTAACCACCTTCAGCAGTTAACTCCTACAGAGGGACCCATCCTTTTCACTTCCTGCATATACAAAAGATCCAGTCTTGTTTAAAACCTGTTTCTGCAGACACCTAGTGAAAGGATCATATTTAAGCACAACACCTCTCAAAAAACATCTTGTATCTGTAATCACCAGTTTCTATAATGATGAATTTCCAGTTTCAATCCACACAAATGCTTTACTTTCTCATGCATACTGGTCCGTGAGATCCTTAGACAAAGGCAAAACCATAATTCTCCTCTGTAGTCACTGTAGGCTTGAACTGCTTTGCACGAGCAGGTTTGTTTCTGTAGGGTCAATAACATTGATCTGCGGTTTGAGACCTATTATGAACCTATAGTTATTCCACCCAAAATCAGTCTAGATTGTGTCCCTCCAACCAGCTGTCCAGCCCCACTCAAGACTTTAAAAGCACCAGCACTGGAACTGAGACAGCTCATATGCCTCATGGCCCGCTGCAAGACTGCTGGTCAGAAAAGCTTCAAAGTTGCACCTGGTACTTTCTGTAAGTCGATGAAAGCAGGGCTAAAATTTAAAGCCTTGAGAAAGGCCTGGCTCTTTCCTGGCAAAAGTATGTGCACATCCTAAAGAGCTCTTTGAGCAAACAGGTGACTCCCCCTCCCCATCCTCTCTGTAATTATCTGAGACTGGAGTTTATTGGTGCCTGAGATCCCTTGCAAAAAGATGTGGACAGCCTTGAGTTTTGGGAACAAGCACCCACTATGCTGCTAGGACAGTGCATTATTGTTACCGAGAGAGTTGAGACCAGCACCTCCCCCTCCACTGCCCCCCTTTGAGGAGGCTGTAGACTGCGATGAAGTCCCTGCTCAGCCTTCTATTCTCCAAGTTGAACAAACCAAGTGACCCCCTGAAGGCAGGCTGCTACTCCCTGCTTACTGACGTGAGTATCACCATGTTTTAGCTGGTGATCCGGAACCGTTCAACTCATGTACCAAGGCTATTTCTTATTACCAAGGTCACTTTATCACCAAGGCTACTTTATTACCTTTGATGAAGCACATGGCCACAGGCTTTAAAATAATAAGACCACTTATCATATGCCAGTGTCTCCACACATTTTCTGTGGACCTGATGTATATTGTAGCAGAGTACCATGGATTTCTGACTCGTTCCTCATTCAGCTCCAGCAAACTCCATTCACCCAAGAGCTTTCTGGCTATGATGAACCACCACTCCAGCCACTTCACCTGACATTGAATAAGCACTGCAGCTATGCTGATCGTCACCAGCTGCTTTGCTAGCTAACGTCACCACCCTGGAGATGATTCTCACTAAATCCTCTCTGTGGTGCAGGAATCAAGATGTGCTTGCTCATGGCAGGCACTTGGTTTTACAAGCCTGCCATCCTATAGGTGTCCAAGTGGGAACAGCAGCACTCGGTGACTGCTTCATCTAAGGCAGCCCACGTTTCCCCTTCCCTCTGGCTCATTCCTCTTCAAGTGCTGCACCACAGCGCCAAAAGACAGGCTGGGCTGATCTCCAGGAACTTGTTCCTCCAGGGTGAACCCTGAGCAGCTCATCTCATCTCCGGAAACAAAACCACAAGCACCATTTTGCTGCAAGGGGAACCCAAACAGGCTGGCCACCAGCAGCACAACTCGCAGCCAGCTCACCTCTGCAGCTCAAGCGCCGGCCAGCCCAGGAGGGGATACAAATTCATAGAATACCAGGTTGGAAGGGACCTCAAGGATCACCTGGTCCAACCTTTCTTGGCAAAAAATTCCTTTGAGAAGGAGCAGCCAGAGCATGCAGGGCCCCACTGTGCACCTTGTGACATCCTGCAATCAACTCATTCCCACACTGCTCTTATCCTTCAGGGCACTCGGTGCAGGAATCATTAACACAGCAAATAAGCTGTTCAGAGCAACAACAAACAGGCAAAACCTAACCACCTTCAGCAGTTAACTCCTACAGAGGGACCCATCCTTTTCACTTCCTGCATATACAAAAGATCCAGTCTTGTTTAAAACCTGTTTCTGCAGACACCTAGTGAAAGGATCATATTTAAGCACAACACCTCTCAAAAAACATCTTGTATCTGTAATCACCAGTTTCTATAATGATGAATTTCCAGTTTCAATCCACACAAATGCTTTACTTTCTCATGCATACTGGTCCGTGAGATCCTTAGACAAAGGCAAAACCATAATTCTCCTCTGTAGTCACTGTAGGCTTGAACTGCTTTGCACGAGCAGGTTTGTTTCTGTAGGGTCAATAACATTGATCTGCGGTTTGAGACCTATTATGAACCTATAGTTATTCCACCCAAAATCAGTCTAGATTGTGTCCCTCCAACCAGCTGTCCAGCCCCACTCAAGACTTTAAAAGCACCAGCACTGGAACTGAGACAGCTCATATGCCTCATGGCCCGCTGCAAGACTGCTGGTCAGAAAAGCTTCAAAGTTGCACCTGGTACTTTCTGTAAGTCGATGAAAGCAGGGCTAAAATTTAAAGCCTTGAGAAAGGCCTGGCTCTTTCCTGGCAAAAGTATGTGCACATCCTAAAGAGCTCTTTGAGCAAACAGGTGACTCCCCCTCCCCATCCTCTCTGTAATTATCTGAGACTGGAGTTTATTGGTGCCTGAGATCCCTTGCAAAAAGATGTGGACAGCCTTGAGTTTTGGGAACAAGCACCCACTATGCTGCTAGGACAGTGCATTATTGTTACCGGAGTGTCTCAACAAAACAGTATTGAGCAGCAAGGATGCCGTTTGGATTAGGTAGAACGACTCAGCTCTCGTGCAAGGAGAAGGGAGGGTTTGTCAAAGCTTTACCTCGTGATCGGGGATCTCGGAGGACAGTGTTCTCCCAAGGATGACCCCAGTCAAGTATGTCCAGCAGCGAGCTGTGTTGGCAAGGTTGTAGCCTCCTGTCTCCAGCAAGAATTGTGATTTTGGAGGGGGAAGAGTGGGGAAAGGGAAGAGAGAGGGAGAGATTTTAGTGGAAGGAACAAATCGTGGAGGCAACACGCACAAATTCAGCTTATTTCATCCACTCAGGCTGTGCCCAAAAACTGCGTTTTGCACCTGCTGGCTACATGAGGCCAGGTCCAAACGACACGGTATGCAAGAGCAGACCTCCCAAACTGAACCCCAGTTACACCCAGTGTGGCACAGGCCAGGCTCCTCCAGCCACCATCTCAGACCCAGCATAAGCCCCCGTCCCCATGCGCTGGGCTCCCTCCTGGCAACAAGGAGGGGTGTTCAAAGCTAACAGGGAGAGAAGTGCAAGGGCAGCAGTGGAGACATGGGATTCCTGCTTTTTAATGCCAGCCTTCAACCCATAAAGCATAATACACATGCCCAGCCATTTGCTGGTGAGCTCTTCAGCACTGTTATGTTTGAGAGGACAAATATGATGCTCATTAGTACAACTTGCAACTGCTTTACAAGTAAATGAGGTTTCACAGTCAGTATGGTAATGGTCACCTCTGTGATAACGGTACATGAGCCCACAAGGAGAAACCTTAGCTGAAAGCAATCCTGCAAGAGACCCAGAAGAAGGTTTTTTTTCCAGCAAAGATGACTAAAATAGTAAGAGAGAACCACTTTGAAAAGAGAGGGAGATCATATTTTTCAGCGTTCCCTTCTCTTTGGGTTGTTTGGTTTTGGTTTGTTTTGGTTTTTTTTTTTTTTGGCAAGTATTGACTCCTCCCCCAATATCCACTTCAAATACTTCCACAAGCTGCAGTGGTAGGACACTCCTTTGGTATTTTCACGAGTGACAAATAGTTGTCCCTCATTTTTTGACAAAATTTTTGGGGTTTATTTTTGCCTGAAAGGTGCCATCCCCAGCATACCCACAGACATGCCACAGCAGGATTGAACACTCATAACCTTTCCAAAACAAAATGCATTAGGCACAGCAAATTTTAGGCTTAACATGCTATACCTGATCTCCCCCATCTCAAAAAGGACAACAGATAGAGCTGATATGGCTCGAGGCAGAGAGCCGGGGGGCTCTCCCTGGCACACAATGGCTTTTGTTGTTCTGAAATGCTCTCTTGCATAAAGCCTGTCCTGTGCTCTCCCCACTGGACAAGCAGCTGGTTATGCAGCATGGCAGAGCTAAGTCAACCTTAGCTTTCACTGGGTATCAGAGCCCTGCTGTACCGTGCAGGCAGCCAGACCTTTTCCCAAGCCCCTGCTTGAATCCAAATTAAATCATTCATTGCCAGATGCCCAAGGTAGATTTGGGAACACAGTGCTCACTTTTAAAGAGAGGTGCTGAAGGGGTGATCAGCAGAGATAGGAATCAGAGGTGCCATTGAGAAGCTAGGATCAGTTCATCGGATTAACAGCCTCTGCTCTTCTCTGGAGGAGACAAGCAGCCTTTAACTCAAGATCTTAGGGTCAGGATTGAGACTTGCACCTGTCGGTACCAAGGATTTCAGGTCTGTGTGAAAACAGTACTGTGCCACAGAGTGCCCTCCTGATGCTGCCCAGCAGTCACCCTGCTAAACTCCAGTCAGTGCCAAGCCCAAGGGCCCACACTCGAGGAAGGGTCACAGGAGGACAAACCCGTTTCCTTGTGAACAGCAGGACGCGCGTGCACTCACCTCCTCCCAGGATGAGAGTTGCTAGCTGCCACTGCAGGACGTACTTCAGACACTTGCCCACTCCCTCGGGCGTCATGTTGAAAGAGCACATGGGATCTCCAGCAATGGTGTCTGCCCCCAGCTGCAGCACAACCGCGTCTGGGTTGAATGCGGCGTACACCTCCTTCAGCACACTGTGGAGAGGAGAAGTGGTGAGGGTTACTGCAAATGTGGCTCAGAAGGATGCTGGTGGCATGGCCCTGGTTCCTCAGATCCACCGATGCCTCTCAAGGTTTCTGCATTTCTCTGCTCCCACCATCCTCATACCAGTTACGCTCCCTCGGCTCCCAGTTAGCCTTCTGCCTCCGCTACTCTCCTGCAGTAAGTTTAACTCTCAAAGTGCTCATCACCAGGCTGATGAAGGCAAAAGCATCACTGAGAACATGGGTGAGGGGGATCTAGTCCTGATCAGCTTAGTGGTAGCATCAAACTACACGTTTACGTTGGCTGCCCTGAGCAGAAGGGCTGCAAGCCAAATCCAGGGGCTTTTCTCCCCTGTAAAAATTACGGTGAAGAGCAGGGTCTGGTGAAACAACAATCCTAAACTCTCACACACCTCTCACCAGGAGAGGACAGGATGAACAGAGAAAGGCTCTGTCTAGGTTCTCACCCTCCTCTCTCCCATATTGGCTCTTGAGGTAGAAATACATTTCCCCCGCTCTAGCGGATGCCGAGGTACAGCAGGGCCAGTGTCCTGGAGATAGTTTATTAGAAGTATTCTCTCTTGCAGAAGGCAATTGGGCATGTCAGACATTTGGCTTTGCTCCAGGAGATTTTTTTTAGTATTACGAACACCACAAAGGGAATAATTCTGTTCCCAGCACTGTGCTCCAAAGCCCCAAATACAAGGCAAATAATGGAGAAAAACATGTTCCTTTCACAACAGTGTTTTTATTTTGCTAAAGTAGAAACAGATGTGATCCCTGGAATAAATGCTTTTGCCTTGGTTAAGAGAACCTAAGCATCGCCAGTTCTTATTTGATATGCAATTAGAAACCACTGCGGTGCCAAACGAGAGAGCTGCTTCCCTGTGACAAAGAGCTTGCATTTACCAGCACTAACCGCAAGAAACTTAGCCAGTCACTGCACCCAGACAAGGAACCCCACTGAGCTCGGTGCAGTCTGCCAAGGCAGGGCCGAGGCCATCAGCTCTACAAGCACCACAAATTCACTACCGAAATACAGGCACTGCCGGGATAAAACTCGACCGGTGATGAGAAAAACTCTGGGAAAAAACTCAAACCCTGTCCCCCTGAAACTAAATATGTGAGCCTCAGGAAAAACAGGATTTCCATTCAGTATGCATATTCACCCCAGGTATGGCAGCACAGCCTGAACATGCCGAGAGCCTGGTCCCAGCACCCCAGGTACCCGGCAGGGCCAGATAGCTGACAGCTGCTCACACCACTCATGTTTTGACAGCTACCAGGCCACGTTGGCCACATGGTCCCACCAAGCTAAGCAAACTGAGGCAGATGGTGAAAATCACAGTGCCAAGGAAAGAGCAGTCAAATCGGCATAAGCTTCCTTCTTGAAGTAGACCCAAAGTCAGCCTCTCTTCTGCAGATGTCAAGGATGGGATGGATGAGAGGGGCTTCCACCTCTGCCCAAGGCCCACATTGTACTACCCTTCCCTGGAGTAAGGAGGACTGCACCGGCTTTCTTCAAACACTGTAGGGCTTCTTGACACTGTCTGCTGCTGGCGAGGGCTTTCGTTGCCTGCACTCGGACATCTGCAAGCACATCTAGCTCCTGTGAGCTGTCCCTGGGTCCCTCTTCCCCCATCTCCTTCGGACACGCTTCTCCACTTTTGCTAGACAGGCAGCTGACACTGGCCAGTTCAAACAGCTCACTTTTTCCCTAGGAAGCTTTACATTCCTCATGGATCCACCAGAAACAGGCAGATGCATGTGAAATAACATGGATAGAGGAAGGTTCACTTCTTGCTAGTAAAGACTGGGGGTCCCCTGCCCCCTCACCGATCTCACTGTGCAAGGACAGCCACTTCCACCAAAAGGCAATCACTATCATGAGTCCTTCTGTTATTTCCCCAATGAAACTCACTTCAGGCCAAGGCTTCCTACTATTTCTCAAGCAAGGTCTCCCAGCGAGGACTGAGAAGAGTCTTTTAGCCCATGCCTGCAGGTTTTTGCTGGCTGCATGAGGAGTTTTAAACAAAGTTCACTCTCTCCCAGAGCTTTTCATTTTCAAAGCACATTGCAGATATTACCTAAATGATAAACATCTCCTTGATAGGACAGCATTTGTCTGTAGCTGCTGGGATCTCTGTTAATGCATAAGGGTAGCTTAGCCCCCGCCTTTGCCCCACGCTGTGCTCAGGAACAGAGTAATTCTTTCTGGTGTTTTAGGAAATCAGTAGAAGGACTGCTCTGCAGTCTCAGCCCCATCCAGATGTTGATGGACCCTCACACGCATGCAGGCTACAAGCATGAGCTGACGATAAAGCTAAACTGACCATACAGCAGCAGGTAGTCCCTTCTACGCATCCTTCCCAGCCCCTTCCTTTTGCTCATGACAAAGCTACTCTGATCCCACAGTGTGCAGTTTCAGAGAGCTGAACTAGTAGAAAGTTGCTTAGCAGGGTTAGTTTTCTGCTAGGTTAACTCCCTGAACGGGTTCACGGCAAGGAAAAGAAGGGAAAGGAGTGGGCAGCCAAGGATAAGGCAGTGGCAACGGGTCTTTTCTCCCCTTCTGGCAGCATCCCTCAGGGAGACCAGCTCAGTCGTGCCGTCAGAGCTCCAAGCCTGTCTGGGAACTCCTGATACACCTCCTTGCAATGGCAGACTAATCCCAGCTAGAAAACTGACTTTGCATCGAGATGCATCATGAGCACGACAAAGATCTCTCACCGCCTCACAGCTGCTGGCACAGGAACCTCTGACCTGTAACTGCTGGCTCCAGTGGGATGGTACCCCCATCACTGCAGCCAGGGCACAGCATGGCCAGTGAGGACTGTGCGGTCTGTGCTGTGCACTCATTTGGCACAAACGCAAAGGGGATGTTCTGCCCCCTTTCTGTTCCTGAACTAACAAACAAGTTCAGGGAAGTCTCGTAAGCAACGTAGGGCCACAAAGACAAGGTGACCCCAGCGGTTCCTTTCTGGCCCTGGCAGAGCGGTGTGCCAAGGCAGGGCTGCACTGCCTGCCCTTGCAGCAGAGATAGATGAACAGACATTGCCAGTTTTCAGACTTCTCCAAGCTCTTTCTTTCAGCAGTATCCAATTCACTGTCCCCGCTGCCAGCCCCTGAAGGAAGCGGCTGACAGAGAAGTCACCTTTTGTTACCCTCAGAGAGATCAGAAGAACAGCTAAAACAGTCAGCGGCTGACAGGGAGGATAGAAGAGAACCGGCTTCTGCAACTGCTCAAGCAAACCCAGAGCGGCAGTCAAAATTTCACAGCCCCAGTGAGATTGCCACTGGAAGAGGACCAGTGCCACATGACGTTTCCTCCCATCGGTGTCAGGAGATGGCCAGCAGCACGGGAAGGAGCTCCCCAAATTGGAGGGCTCTCCTTTACCTGGATATACAGGCAAGATTGTGACTTACATCTCTGACCTCCAAAAAGCTGCATCCAAAACCCACCAAGCAATCAAGTTACGTCCGCTGCCACCTTAGCAGCAACACATGGGCCTGCCTGCTCCTCCTTCTGCCCACACTGCAAGCAGACAAGACCCAGAGCTGCCCAGGGCCCTGCTGCTCTCAGAGCTGGCATACACTCCCCACGCCAGCTTGCCTCCTGGATCCTGCGGGTCTGCCACCCTGCTGCTGACTACCCCACCCTGTACATGTTCCAGCGAGACCCATGATGTGCCAAGGTGACAGCTGCACCAAACACCACGAGCCCTGTCCGTAAGCTAAAGAAAACAGTCAGACTAATTCTGTCAACTGGAAAGTAGGTTTGAGCTGGGGGTCGTGCGCAAATGCAGTGCACACATAATGCCTGCCAGCACATGCACTCAGAAAGCTCCATGATCCACTAGTTTAAATTGGGCCTTTTCCCCAGGTTAAAACTTGGGACCTTTCAAAAGAAAGCAGGGATCTGGAATTTCAGCCCAAGTTTCAAAATTTCATCCCAAACCATGAAAAACTCAGAAAATGAAATTTCTGCAAAGTTTGTTGGACTATGGACGTATTTTAAACTTTTAGAGTCTGGAAGAACATTTAGGATTTGTGCTCTGCTGCATGATGAAAAGCAACCAATGAATTCCAGATGGTGGGCTAGGTCTCCCGCATTCACTGCCTGCCCCGTGCTGTATTCAACCCTTACAGCAATAGGAAGTGGAAGACCAATCCCTTCCAAGCAGATCCCAAAGCCAGCTGTCAATCACATCTCTAATCTCCAGAGCCTCCCAACAATATGGTCACTCTGGGGTCCGCACTGTTCAGTGCCTATGCCCAAGGACCAGATTCAGAACCGGCCTCATATTATTGCAGGATTTCCAGGCCATGTGGTACTTTTCACACCACGCACACCCAACACCTAGAGGGAGCAGGCACCCTCTTCCATAGGAGTCTCCATTTATACCTGCACGACATGAAAAAGCCCTACTAAACACTGACAGTCATGCAGGAATTGCTTTTTATCATGCACTCCATTTTTTTACCTCATTTTCCCCTATCGCTGTCTGCTTTAGACTGGCACTCCACTGGGAAGTGGCCACTCACCTCTCTGCTGGCCTCCTCCCCAACACTGAAATGGGGGGAAAGATGCATCAGTAGATACCTGTGACCCATCGTAGCTAGGAACAGGCACAACCGGATGCACCGTGAAAGCAATACTGCAGCCTCCCAAGAAACAGCAGTCTCCGCTTTTAGTCTTATTCTTGCAAGTGGGAAACTTTTGCTTCAAAAAAAAGAAGAGTCTAGTCTGGGTTTTTCCATCTGGGCCTTGCATAAGGGCTTCACAAGAGGCACCAAAAGAAAGACAGCCAACCATCAGGAGGCTGAAGTTTGATCTACAGAGGGCCATGCTGCCACCTGGGACACTGTAGGTGCCCACATATTGACTGAGGTTGAAAGCCCTCACTTAGAAGGATTGAAAAAAAAGTATTATTTTTCATCTCGCCAAAAGCCTGCAGAATAGGAAAAAACAGATCAGATCAGAGAAGGGGGAACTGGCCTTGCCGCTCCTATATTGCGCCCCGAGGACAATCAGCCTCACTCTGTGCCACTGCGGGCAGCACAATGAGATCCCAGCCCGTGGTGCCACCACCAGGCAGTGAACAGGCAGTGCCACACAAGGTACATCACCTACAGCAGCTGAGTCCAAAGGAACTGAGACAGCTAGCTGCTGGGATGCAACACATCCACCACAGTCATCCTGTTTTCCTTTACTAAGACACTGTAAATAGAGAAATAGTATCTTCTTTCTAGATAGCAGCCAAGCCTTTGGTGCCACAAAGGTCCCTCATGCTTTCCTTTTAAGTGACCCATGTTACTAACCGGTTTCTCCACCAACATAATGGACACATCACAACTTCCACCCAAGCAGATCTTTGTCACACAGTCCAGCCTGCACTGGCTAAAGCAAAATTTCACTAGATCCATGACTACACACCGCTAACACAGCTCCCCTGCATCACATATAAAAACAGGCCAAACAGCATTCAGATTTTGGGGTGGGTTTGTTTGTTTTTTTATTTATTTCTTTATTTTACATTCTGGCCAATACTAGAGGACAAGTAGCTCATTAGTTATCTCTTTCAGCTATAATTAATTGCAAGTTTATCAAGCAAACTACTACAGCCACTTAAAATAACTCAGATTTCTCTTTGTCTTTGGAGCAAAGATAATGCTTTTGAATGTCTCTGGACTATTTCTAAGCTTACTTTTCTGCATTTGCAATGTTTCTCACATATTGCATTTTTTTTTTAAGTCTTCAAAAGGTTAGTATTTAAACTCCAGGTAAAGTTATTGACATCTTTTCAGAACCAATTTCATTCATTAATTTGGGCAGTTTTGGAAGGTGATCAAGCAAGTCAGCTATTCTGGATGTTTACAATTAGCCAGCCCCATCAGAACTTTCTCTTTTGATGGAGAGACTACGTGAGCAGGTAGGCTCCCAGAGGGCTCTTAGTGAGAACATGCCTTGGACACATCTCTGCACGAGCAGAGCATACCACAGAAACTCAGCATCCGGCTCTGATGCTGTAACTCTCATGGCAGCTCTGAAACTTTTCATCCCTGGCTGCCTTTGTCTTCAAAATTTTAAAGACATCAGACTTTCCAGAAAATAAATAAATAATGTCACACTTTGGCCCCCTTTCCATGCAGCAGCTATTAGTAACAACGTACTTTAATTGGAGCCCGTGTCATTCAACTTCCAGAAACAATAGGCAATTATCCGTGTGCCACACCACCTCGAAAGCAGGATAGGAGTTTATCTACTAGAACAAAAGCGATCAAACACAAGCACTGTAATTTATAGAAAGGCAAGTTCAAAGTGCACATGCTCCGAGACACCAAAAGCAACCTCCTCCCCATTTATTTATATCGCTGTGCTGCAGCAGATCAGCCTCCACCGAGACTGGGGAGGCAGTTGTCCCCGGCACCAAGGGAGGTGAGACTGTTTTGCACAGCATCTCCCTGGCTTTTTTGCTCCCTGCCTGATCTGGCAGCACCTCGTCAAGGAGCAGAGGGCTGCCAAGGAGCAGTCTCCTCTCACCAGCAGGGGACACAGGAGAAGAATATGAGGAAAGGCTCTGCGCAGGGTGTAGTCCACCTGCAGAAACCCGAGTCGGAGGGAGTCACGTGCTCCAATCCCTCCACAGGTTTGGGAGGCACAGGCAATCATCCTCAGACATCAGTTGCAGGAGACACCCACAGTCATGCACATGACTTTCCTCTGGCCAGGACAGAACTCTTCCTCTTTGCCCACGAGATCTCAAAATTTCTTTGTAGATGCTTTGGTTATGTGCAGCTTGGAACCTATGGTAGGTTTTGATGTCCTTCAACTGGGAATGCATGCAACGGGGTACTCCTGACTGGGCTCCTAACCCCTACTCAGCCCCTAAAGCTGCCCTGCCTTTTGGAAACACATCGCTCAGCAGCAAGAGGGCTGCTCTACCACCAGCAGTGACAAGCACCAACAAGCTAGCAGGAGGCACGGCTACAGCATGACTGCCCTAACAGGCTACAAGTCTGGAGAGGTTTCAGTCCTCAGCTGTTAGAGCCGAGAAGTGGATGTGCTACCATGTCCTGCAGCCCTGCACTGAGGCTCCTCTCCCCTTGAAAAGAACAAGCCCTGCAGCCCTGTTTTGACATGGGCAACAGCCTGTGAGGTCCATCATCAATTGCGTGACAGAGGGGCCTGCCGGGAGGCAGCTCAATCACTGGCAGATGTTCAGCCTTCAGCCTTTCGTTTTTCCAGCATAGACAAAAGGTGCTTGGAAAACACTTTTAGCTCAGCCCCAAGCATATCTCCCACAGATGGTCAGGGTTCAGAGCATTTATCTGAAGAAAAAGCATCTAGCCCTAAGTCCACAGCTAAAAAGTACTTGTCCCTTCTCAGTCTCTCCTTAAACACACAAGGCTGACCCGGGGCAAAGAGACCCTCCGGCCACCCACAAATGCCTCTGTATATTCAGTTTGCCTAAGGATTCAGGCAAGACCTCTGAGACCTCTTAAGATCCGTGTTCATTGTAATCAAAAACTGTAACAGGGGAATAGGCAAGCCTTAAGGAAGGACTGTAATTAAAAATAGTAAATAAACAAAATCTGTGCAGTCTCTGTTCTCTAAAATCCCACCCAAGTAAACTGTATCAGAGCAAGAGGTCTTACGTTTCACAGATCTGGTAATATTTCTCATCCTGAATGCCATCTTGAATAGGTACATTCACGCTGTAATAGCGACCTTTCCCCAGGCCAACATCTGTCACATCACCGGTGCCTGAAAAACAGAAACACCCCACGGTTAATTATGAGGGAAAGGAGATCAGCAGCAAGAGAAATGTGTGGGATGTCTCAGATGAGAGCAGGGAGCCAGGACCTTTGGCATGCTTATGGAGAAGTCCATTTGCCACCATCAATAAATGAGGGGTTGGACGGACCTGGTTCTTGCCCTCTGCCCAATTCTGTCATGCGGCTTTCAAGGGCTGCAGGTGACCACCCAGCAGCGGCTCTGCCCAGAGCTTAGCCACACCCAGAAAGGGGGAAATGCCAAACATGCAGTTCCCTCCTCTTTCCTTCTCCTGGGTCAACAGAAGAGGCAGAGACACACCTCTGCTGGACAGAAGGGATGGGACTTGCCTTTGCTGGGGCCTCATCAGTGATGCGTGAACCAAATTAGCACAAACCTCACAAGTTCAACTTACCTGGGAAAAATCCTGGTGAAAACTTGTGCAGAGAAACAGTCATGACTTTCGAGGTGAAACTAAAGGCATCTTCAACTCCTATCAGAAAAGGGAAGAGAAAAAAGCTTTCATGCATCATTCACATAAATGACAGAGTCTAAATACACAAATGAGCCACTCGATAAACATGGGGCAGCAAGCAGAGCAGGAATGGAATGAACAAAGTAGAAAACCAGATGTGGCTCAATAAATCCATCCTTAATCAACAGAGACATGAATTCAACTGCAGCAAAGGTCACTGAAACGAATTTGGTGGGTCTCATGCTAATCAGTACTGAATGGATCTCAATACCTCAGGTCAGTGCCCACGTTAGCAGCACTCGCCTGCACTGCTTGGCCTGTAAGGCTGGGGGAGGGAGCTGAGCAGGGATGCCTTGGCCACAGATTGGCTCTGATTAGAACCAGAGCTACCGGGCTCTCTTGCTTTTTCTCAGCGCTGCTGCGGTTCAACATGCCTTTTCTTTTCCTTAAAGACATATTAAAATAGTGGGGGTAGGGAGCGAAAAAGAAGTAACAGGAAACTTAACAGAAACCAAATGTGGGGGGGGAAACGGAGCAAAATGAAACACACCATAAAATTTAGGAGACCAGGAAATGTTAAATGGTGTTGAAATAATGTCCCTGAAGGAGAGAGCAGTTTCAGCAAGCGCTGGCTTTAGTTGTATAGCATCAAGCCTTCTTTTAAAAGCACCATCTACTACTGACTGCTTCCCTCTTGCACTGGTGGCATTAAACAATTAAACACTGTCAGCAACTGCTCTGCTGGGATGGGAGACAAGGGACTGGGGGAAGTCCTTGCTGGAGAGCCACTGGCAGAGGAGGTTACTGGAATGGGAACACACTGTTGCTTTAGGTACAAGACTGCTGCCCAGACCCTCAAGAGAGGTCTGATGAGCAGCACAGTGCAAATCCATATCCATAAAGCAGGACAAGGCAGATATGGATTGAGGGAACTTGACTGCACTGAAAGGAGGCAAAGCCACAGCTGTTGCAGCAGGTAAAGCCCTACTGCCCCGATAGGCCTTCACCTCTCCCGTTCCTCCCCCTGAGGCTGTGTTGCTGTGCTGTTTGCAGCCTGCGCTGGGCCTTACCATCCCCATGATGCAAATCCAAATCGATATAAAGGACACGGTCAAACTTCTGGCGCAGACGCAGGATCCCCAAGACAGCATCGTTCAGGTAACAGAAGCCAGAAGCTTCATCTCTGTGAAAACAATGTCCGTGAGGTTGAACATCACCAACACAATCGCCACTGATCTTGGCATTGTCACTTTTGCTTTGCAAGTCTCCACCTCACAGGGGCACAGAGAAGGATGAAGAGCCAGGCCAAGGCCCAGCAGCGACCAAGGGATGGGTCAGGAGCAGCTCAAAGCACGGCTGGGAAGCACAGAGAACATGACTGCTTGTGCTAATCGCTTCTCAACCCTGGGCTTGCTGGCAGCTGGTAAAGCATCAGCTGGCTCTGTTGCACAGAGGCCCTGGCCCATGGGGGGCTTGGCAGGGTACCTCTGACCATTTCACTGTTGCACAAATAAAACATTAGCTTTCTGCACCTGAGAGATTTTAAAGAAGTTCAGAGCCACTCAAACCCACTCTCCTTTGTACCTCCTATCCCTCTGCAGCAAGAGGACAGGCCCCTGGACAGTCCTGCTTGGCCATTTTCCTGCAAGTGCTGAACAGGCACAGGCAGGCAGCCATTCCATCCCTGCTGTCCAGGTCACAGCTCCTGGGAAGGTGCTGGCAGTAAAATGGAGGTCCAAAGCAGTCGCAACACTGCTGCTCTGTTCCAAAGTCTCGTGGTATGAAGGTTAAGTCTCTCCCCGAAGCAACACTCTCCCTTCCTGCCCAGGAAAATGCAAACAGGATGCCTCACATGCAGTCCCTCACAATACAGCTCCTAGGCTCAGCCAGAAGAGAGCCCCAGCAGCTAAACGGAGGACATATGTCAGGGATAAATCTTTCCATGCAACATCTATCAGGGGGCAGCTTCCATATTGCTCGTATCAAAGGAACAAGAAAGTTTCTTAATCCCTGCTCCAGACTTGCTTCAAAGTCAAGCCCCCGTCACCCCTTGGCACTAGCCCATATGCACTCACAGGTCAGCCCTGGATAGCTGATTTAAACCAAAGCTTTATACTTTGCAACAGGAGTGTCCAAACCCCTCTTCCCAAGGCTCAAACAACTCCAGGATCTAAGATGTGCCTCTAGGAAATGCTTCATAACTTTCAGACACAGCACTTGGCTCATTTCCCCCAACACTCCCCTGCTCAGCAAACAGCTGGAAACAGCGAGAAGCAAGCATGGGGTGGCAGAACTGCACTTGCTCTCATTCCCTGCAAATATCATGGAGCACAGATGCTTCCCAGTGACTCTGTTCATTTACACTGATGCCGAGAACTGGGATGTTAGCAGGTATCCTGGGAATCTTCCTTAACTGTGATTACACACCGTACTCCTCCCCTCCCTCCCAGCCCACAAGTAAGCAAAGTGAACTATGTCACGTCTCAGGCACTCTCTCCATGCTGTAACACACTCTCTCTTTCAAACTCAAGGCCGAGCAGAGCACGACACCAGCTCGGACAGAGGCTGATCAGTGTCAGAGCTGCAGCTCAGGGCCAGCACGTGGGATTTCTCCCCGCACAGATCCACACAGCAGAGCTCAGACTATCACTGCTGGAAGGAAGGGCAGGGCTGGATCAAGAAAAGGCACTGACTCAGCATCTCACTCTGCTCCAAAGGCATAGCAGTGAACTGGGAATGTCAAAAGCCCCAGGTGACGGTGGTTACCATTCCTACCTTTATGACCTTGGAAAGTAACTAAGCCACCAGACAGCAGGTCTTTTTTGACAAAAGGACATGTATCTTGCTAGGACAGGTCCTAGCACCAGGCACCTGCAGTCAGGTGTCAGTCTGGCTGGACCTTCGCACTGGACTGGCACCTACCACAGCTGCTGCCTACCCTGCAGCATCCCACGCCACCTCACTGGGGTGAATGGGAAGGCTCCTTTGGGATCAGTAAGTATTAAATGCCTTTTCTAAACAGACTGTTTGCTTCCCAGAACATTGCTAATAGCACAGCTCAGTGGCAGCAACACTGCTAAGATTTCTTCTCTTACAGGCATTTTATGAACCATGTAATCAAGATAAAAGAGAATAGAAGATTTTTAAAAAGCCATCCCTCCTGCGAAGAGCAAGAGGGCTCAGCTCAGCCAAGCTAAACTCTCTTCTTTCTCAGCAAGCCATAGCTGAACCCATATTCAGCGAATTGCTGACCAGGAAAAGGGTCCAGATGAGACATTGCCATGGCTGGAGTTTGCACACCACTGTTACACCTCCAGAGCTTCTCTGTCAGGTCAGAAAAGTCACTGGAGAAACCTGCGCACTCATGTACAAGCTGTTAGGGTTAGACACGTGGTTCGTGCTAACTTCTGGGGCTCCCCAGGGAAACAGAACGGCACTGCAAAGGCCAGTTAGCTGGGGACAAGGAAGGGTGCATTTGCAGACAGGCCTCATGTTTTGGGAGATGGGGGACACAAATTAAAATAAAACATACATCCATGGAAAACAGGGAAGCCATGAAAACAAATTATTTTACCACTACAAAATCACAGGATTCAGGGACGAAATTTTTACTTCCTCTCCTGTTGTTCTGGAAGATCCTTATTGACATTACAGCTCAGAGCAAACAGCCACCCACAGAGCATGGGGAAAACCAGAGGTCAGTCCTGCACTGTTTCAAACTTCTTACTAAGAACCCAAAAAAGCCACACAAAACAATTTGGACAACATGTTGCCACGTTCCCATTCTCTTCCAAGTTGGGAGTGACACCAATCGTTTGCCTCTCCACAGCCCTTCTCTATGGACTTGGCAAAATCAGTTCTCACTTGAACTCCCAGAGATAACCAAGTATCAATGGCGGGACACCTCTGAATACATCTGCCCCAGACCCGCACTGCAGTCCATGATAGCACCAGGACTGGGCAGTAACCAGCCTACTCTCAGGCCTCTGCCCTACACTCTGCTTCTTTCCTATCTACGACCTGCCTTCCCCTCACCCCCTCACACCTTGCTCTCTCTTCCAGCTGGACTGCCGCACCCTGAGGGTTCACAGGGAAGCTGGGAGCTAAGAGGCAGGATTCAGACACCAGGTGAGAAAACACAAGGGAAGAGATTGTTTTCTTACTTCTTTGCATGATGCCACCCTCCAGGCCAGTTAATTGCTACCTTGCACTTGCCGTCCAGCAGGCACTGGGCTGCAGTGATGGTGGCTCCTCCCACAGCTGCCGCATACTCAAAGATCCCTTCAGTAGCCGGACAGTCGTAACCTGTGGGTAGGAGTCCATGTGTCAGACAACAGGCCTTTTCCTCTGAGGGAAACACATTCTCTTTGTTTTGAGCTCTCTCTCTTTAACCGCTGCTCTAACTTTCTATTCCAGGCACAATGAAAAAGCCACGGCACAAAACCCTCACAACAGGTATCAGATTTGGACTCACACAGCAGATTTAGGGGGCGTAAGTAGTAGAAAAATTGTATCGGGTTTGCGTGGCAAGGTTTTAGTAGCAGGAGCGCTGCAGGGGTGGCTGCTGTGAGAAGACTCCAGGAGCTGCACCCACGTCAGACAGAGACAGCTCCAAGACAGACCCACCGCTGGCCAAGGCTGAGCCCATCAGCAATGCTGGTGGCACCTCTGTGATAAAATATTGAAGAAAGAGTAAAAAACCCTTTCTAGGAGAGAGAAGTGAGAACATGAGTGTGAAATAGTCCTGCAGACACCAAGGTCAGTGAAGGAGGGTGAGGAGGTGCTCCAGGCACCAGAGCAGAGATTCCCCTGCAGCCTGCGGAGGGCCCCACGCTAGAGCAGGCTGATGCCCGAAGGAGGTTGTGACCCCGTGGGAAGCCCACGCTGCAGCAGGCTCCTGGCAGGACCTGTGGACCTGTGGAGAGAGGAGCCCATGCAGGAGCAGGTTTGCTGGCAGAACTTGTGACCTCGTGGGGGACCCACGCTGGAGTGGTCTGTTCCTGAAGGACTGCACCCCATGGAAGGGACCCATGCTGGAGCAGTTTCTGAAGAACTGCAGCCTGTGGGAAGGACTCACGTTGGAGAAATTGGTGGAGGACTGTCTCCCATGGGAGGGACCCCATGCTGGAACAGGGGAAGAGTGTGAGGAAGAGGGAGTGGCAGAGACAGTGTGTTATGAACTGACCACAACCCCCATTCCCCATCCCCTTGCACCACTCAGGGGCGAGGGAGGGAGGGAGGTAGAAGAACTGGGAGTGAAGTTGAGGCTGGGAAGAAGGATGGATGAGGGGGAAGGTGATTTTAGTTTTGGTTTCAATTCTCACTTTCCTACTCTGTTATTAATTGGCAATAAATTGAATTAATTTCCCTAAGTGATGGTAAACTGGTGAGTGATCTCCCTGTCCTTATCTTGACCCACGAGCTTTTCCATTGTATTTTCTCCCCTACCCTATTGAGGAGGGGGAAAGAGAGTGCATCTTAGCGGGCACCTGGCAGCCAGCCAAGATTAACCCACCACAAAAATCAACAATCAAAATGTTTCCTTGCACTCAAATCATTCACAGATGGGTCTTGAACCAATTTCTGATCTGTGTGCCTGGCTAGCCCAACCTACTGGTCCCTCATACCAATCTTGCAAAAACACTCTCAGTTCTCTGGCTACTCTACCAGGAAAGCCCTGACACGGTCACTGATGTATCTACCCCCTAAAAGCAGACATCCACAAAGGAGATAGGCCTATGCATGCTGCAGATCTATAGCTAGAACATGATCTTCACCTATTCCTACAGCAGCCTCCCTGGAGCCACTCCCCAGCAAGGTGCGACCCCAGAGCTGCTCCTCTGCCTGCAGACAGATCACCTTCAGAAATGTAAAGGGCCGATCTAGGGGAGACTCACAAAATCAGCGCAGAATCTGTCCCACTGCCTCAGTGCTGGGTAACTCCTGTTCCTGAGACTAAGACAGTACCCACAGCCACCTCACCTGCTTTAACTACTGCATTGCTCAGGCTGTCTTAAGTCCAGGCAGGCAAGAACCCTCTGCTCAAGACACAAGGAAAGTCACAGGCAAACAGCAGCCACTCTGATCCCTGGCTGTAGCTTCAGGCCATTGTTCACGTGTGCCCTCCACTACAGCAGGCTTGTGGCAGCCAGTCTCAACCCTGTTCCAAGGGCAGCACGTCAGGGCCTTCTGTCCTGCCTGAGATCCTCAAAGCAGCAGCAAAAGGCACTGGCTTCCGGTATGCAAGGGACAGGCTGAGCTGCACGGAGCAGCAGCGTGAAGCTGACAGTACCCTCTGCTGGTAACAGTGAAAACGCCAGCCTGACAGGTGACTGCTGGCTGACAGGGTTCAGCAACATCCCATCAAAGAGTGTTTCCCTCCGCGAACAGCCCAGCAGCCCACCTGAGCTCACCCCTCTGTCTAACCTCAGCTCCAGCAAAAAGCATCCTGGACCTGATACTCAGTTAATCTCTCGCTGAAGATACGCATCCTTACCCAGTCCATACTCCACGGACTCCGGATGGTCATCATCCCCCTCCTCACTGACCTTCTGCAGGTGCTGCAGGTAGGCATCCGTGTGGAAGCTCGCCATCTCCTCCATGGAGGCCGCTTTCGGCTTGACTATCCTAGGCAGAGAGGGGGAAGGGAGCACATCAGGACAGGAGGCTCCAGGGTTTGGCTGGAACACCCAGCTTTAACTTCCTCAGACTAGGAGCTTTCTTTTGGCAGTTGCTGTTGAAAAAGCAAACAAAACCCCCTCTTCCTCTCACACTGGACTGTCACTTTGAGTGAGAAAGCCACTCAGCTAAGCTGGAGTAGGCCTTTCCCCCAGCTTGGCACTGTCTGTTGTGCCCACCCCAACGAGGAACATCTGCAGGTGCTGCCTGCATCAACCTTTCCACTTTGCTTCAAGTTTTTTTTCCCTTTTCTGCATGTTCTCCCAGTTTGAGCAATCTCCAGCAGATCCAACGTTCTGGTTACACACAGAGGAAATAACAGAGTGAAAACATCCAGGCCCAGCCCAGTGCTGTGGCAGGACACCAGCCCGCTGGGTCAAGAGCTGAGCAGCACCTCTTACGTGCTCTTAACTCTGCTTGCGTTCAAAGCAGAGACCGTCTCTGTCCTCAGCAACTCGCATATCACCTTTCCCGGGTTTGGGCGCTTTGCAATCTGCCTAAATAAATCTCGTGACATATTGAAGCTCTCTCCAAACCTCAGACTCTGGGGGTGCATGCTGACAACGCAGTACAACTCCATTGCTGCTGGAAGAATACAAGCAGCTCCCAGCTCCAGGCTAGCCCAGGTGCCGGGCACTTCTCACCCAATGCCAGGGCAAACAGCCCTTTGGGTCCGCCTCTGTAATGGTACCTGCAGCCATTTCCCAAGCACACTCTACCAAAATGACCAGAAAGAAAAAAAATCCTTTAAAAAAAAGCCCTAACAGAACTTTCTGACCCTGCTGAACTGGAGTGTGGGATTTTTTTAAGATTTTATCAGGTGCTACATAAGAAAGGCTGAGCTAAGCCTTTTCTTTCTCTTCATATCCCCCAATGTCAAAAGCCTAATGGGGCAGGAGGGTTCTCACTCTTCTACCTCAGACTTCATTTTGTCTTCTCTCCTGAACAGCACCAAGACCTCACAAAAAGTCTCCCAAATCAATCACAACACAGCAAAACAACATGGTCCCTCTCAGCATCAGCACTGGCCAGTGGATTCGGAGCAGCGCCCACAAGGACAGTTTCTACGCCATCACTTCTGCTCAGAGCCATGAGAGCAGCAGGTGACAGCATGCTCTACAGAGAAAGCACAAGGCAATTTGTACTCCATTGGTCCAGGAAAAGTAACCATAAATTACACCTGCCATAATTACCATAATCTTGTCCACTTAGCAAAACAAGCAGACTTTTCTTAGATCCTAGAAATACACACTGTGTGGGCTCCTATAATTATGCTGCCAGCAAGGACAGTATAAGACCTGCAGTTACTCAGTATCTTCCAAACCTTAGCAGAGAAGAAAATATTCTCTGCACAGAAAATGGGAGCACTTACTTCATCTGGTCAAGTAAGGAATACGCTTCAATCAGCGAATGTACCATACTGGCCTAAAAAAAGAAGAATAAGACCATGACAGCAGCTCTAGTGCAGGTGACAGAAGCACAGCAACCGGGGGCTAAATGACTTGCAGCGAAGGTGATACTGTGACTTCTCCCAGCAGCACAGCTAAACTGGCACCAGCCTGAGCAGGGTCCCTGGACACGGTCTCCCCCTGCACACGGAGGGCGTGCAGCACGGCAGTGTGTGGGGGCACTTCCCGGTGCGTCAGGAAAAGGCACTGCAGCGCACAGCTTCACGGGGGGCGCCTAGGAAGTGCCACTTCTGTGTCCCGGCCACCCGCTCCCGCCCTGCCAGAGGCAGTGTAAGGGGAGAGACAGGCTCTCCTTCGGACCCCACACTCCTGCCCAGGGCCGGGGGTGCCCCCCCACCGCTGCCCATTCGCCCAAGCTCCCCGCACCCTCCCGCTGTCCCAGGTGCCGGCAGCCTCCCTCGGGTCCCCTCCGACCCCAGACCTCACCACCGCGCTCCCAACGCCCCCACGCCGGGGTCCCACA